TGGAGTCATGAAGAGGCGGATGCAAATGAAACGACTGAACATAGTTGTTAATTGAGTCATTTGTTTAAAGTCCAAGTGTTGACATCTTCAGATAGAATATAAATCTCATTTACTTGTTTTTTCTTTTAACAATACATCACACTTTTTTTATGTCTGCATGCATTGCAGGCATTGTTGGGAGAACAATCTGGAGAGTGCTTCTGATTAAATTTCAGTTGTAATAGAAGGCTTCATAATCACCAACACAAAATTCCTTTGTAAAAAATAGCGAAATGACAAAATGGAAATTACCTTCATGGTTTTTGTGACATGAAACTACTATGTTCTATTTGCTTATTAATTTTTTGGAAATGTTATATTATTATTTTATGTATGGCTCCTTTTAACCATAACTGTTTTATGTGACATAATTTATAAGTGTTATCTCTGTAATAATACAGGTAGAAGATTTTATATGATTTACTTCCACTTAATGCCATTTATTTTATTGCAAGTGTCAAATTGTAAAAATTCATTCTCAGCTAATTTAATTAAAGTTTCTGATTGGATGACACTAATCCATTTAATAAACCTTTATCATCACTTACTATGTACAAGGCTAATAATGCAATTCTTGTACCTCACTTCTGAAACCAGTACTACTTAGTATTTGTCACATAACTATAGTAATAAAATAATCTTAACAGTATGATAATTGAAATGTATTTAGTGCTAAATACTTGTGAGTTTTTATGGCCAAATGTATTTGAGATATAAAAAGTGAGTTATTCTTTATATAATGATTTCAAAGTCCTTAAGGACTTTTCTCATCAGTCCCCACAGAATTCTGTGTTAACATCATAATCAGTCCTAGTTGTTCCCTTCCAGATGCAGGTGAGAGTTAGGTATGTATCTTGAAGAATTTGTAATGAGTGATAGAAAGGAAATGAAACTGGTGGTCATCGAGTTGATTTTCTCATATGCTCAGACCAATACTCACTTGGAGCAATTCTTGCAGGATGGTATTAATCTCTGCGCAATTTACTGCCTGCCAAGAATGGGACAGGTTACATTGGCCTTATATTGTCTTTTTTTGGTTCCAGTTTTGGCAAGGATGAGGAAGTCATGTGAGGGACTTGTTATGACTGTGGTTGCAACAATTCACCATGCTTCTGAATATCCCCCAAATAAGATTTTCATGGCAGCATGGTCTCTGAATTCATTGTAATTTGCTATGTAATTTGTCATGTTACGCATATTGAAATTTTCCTTTTCTACTCCTAAAAATTGTAAATGAGTGCTTTTGATATCTTTAGATCATGTAATACTCTGCCACACCTTTATAGGAATGAGAAGACCAAGTTCTGACTACTTCATACTCATAAATCAAGCAGTCAGGCAGGGAGGCAGGCAGGCAGTCAACAGTTCCAACAGCATTTCCTATGTGTCAAGCGCTGAACTAAATTGTGGGGATACAAAGAAAGACGAAAACAGCTCTTTGCCTTAAGAAACTGACATTCTAATTGGGGAGACAACATACAAATAAATTGGTAAATATATTAGTGTCATCACAAATATTTATTGAGCATTCACTGGATTTATGGCTCTGCACTAACTTTACATTTTTTGACACTTTCTTATGGAAGACTCTTTAAAACACAACTCTTGTTTTTCAAAAGGAACAGGTGTAAACAGGAAATTGTAATGGAAATAAATCATTAGAAAAGTAATATCAAAATGCAATGTAATTTTGGCAAAAGCTAAAATTTTATGGTCAATGATCCTCTAAATAAGTCACACAATATCATATTGCAATTGCCTTTTCTATAACAAGATTATGAAGTAATTGCTATGTATTTTTTGTGTTTTAAAAATAATTGGAACACAGGTTTGAGAGCCTTTTATGTTCAGGTTTATTAGCATATAATCGTGGTAACCTGTTTTGAGGCTTAGTGTGTGCATTTACTGATTAGTGTGCCTCTTTTTTATCTGTGTGCAGATTTTCAATTGATAAAGGAATAGCTGGTCAGGTGGCTAGAACAGGGGAGGTCCTTAACATCCCAGATGCCTATGCAGACCCACGCTTTAACAGGTAAGAAACTCTTGGCAGAAGACACAGATACTTTTCTTCTTAAATGGTGCCAAGAATGGGCAATAGGTTGTCATAACCTAAATGATTCAAAGCCTTACCAGTTACGTATCATTTATGCTAGCTGTAATTATGTAAAATATATTGCAGTGCTTTACTAGCTAACATTCATGTAACACTTCAAGGTTCGCAAAGTACTTTACTTAGGTATCTTATTTGATCCTTACAACAACATTGTGAAATAGGTGGTCTTATTATCCTTTGATGATATTATAGATGAGGAGACTGAGGCTGAGAGAAATTAGTTGATTTGAACAGGGTCATGTAGCTAAAAAGTGTCTGAGGCACGATTCATTCAGTCTTCTTGCTACTGGATGTGAGTTCAATTCTTTGTCCACTTAGCACCTTCATCATTCTGTATTATATTGCCACAATATGAAAGAACTAGAGCCAGCATTAATCCACTTAGTTTCAAAAAGGCTTTAATCCATGCTATTAAATAGTCCTGATAAATGAGATGGTAAGGCACATAACAATAAATAACTACTTTTTAAAAAGTTTATTTGTTTGAAAATTCAGATTGGATATATTTCTCTAAATAGCATTTTTATTTACCACTTAATAAAAGAGGTAGTTTCTGGCAATACATCATTCATCAAAGGGAAAACAGTACAAGAATATCCTTTTAACAAGTTGGAATTAATATCTCTACTTTCAAATCAGTTTAGCTTTTTTTCCAAAATATTTTTGGGGAAGCTTTAAAAACAAACATTAAAAATTGTTTTTACATGCAATTGGGAAATAAGATATACAGGCAGTGGGGTATCGAAATCTATCCTGCCCTACAGGAACATAGATGGAGAAGGGGATGGGGGGGTGATGGAAGGGAGGGCAGATTAAGGGAAGGGGTGTTCAGAATGCATGCTGTCTTGGGGTAGGGGTTGGAGCGAGATGAGGCCAAAATTTGAAACTCAAAATCCTGTGGAAATGAATGTTGAAAACTAAAAATAAATAAATAAATAAATAAATTTTTAAAAAATTGGAAAAAAAAACCAAAGCATTTTGGATCAGGGATACTGTGCCTGTGATTTCATGGCTATAGAGGACTACTAATTAGGAAATTCCCTCTATCAAAGCAAATCATGAATTTTTCTACAGCTTAAAAATCTTAGAAATTTCTCTGGGTAACTGTGAAGTGTTTTGCCCAGGGTCACATAGTCAGTGTTCCATAGAACAGAGGCATCAAACAAGTGACCTGCAAGCCACATCAACCAGCAACACTTTCAGGTGCTGCAGGAACCAGATTAAAATGTATGTAATAAGGACATATTTAACAAGACTAATTTAAAAAAAAAACGATGCAACAGAGGTAATGTTATTATATGGTTTTCCAAGTCAATATGCAGCCAGCAGATCTCTTTTTGTATGGTTCAGTGGCCTTGTTTCTATTTGAATTTGACATCACCACCTTAGAGGGTGGGATTTGAATCATATTATCCTGGCTGAGGCCTCCCCTTCAGCGGCCATGTTGCCTCCTCAAAAATGTATGTCTGTTAGAGATACAGACCTAACTTTTGTCTAGTTATGCATTTTAAAAACAAGAGTGAACACAGAACTTCATCTCTTAATGACACTGTATTGAAAATAATTTATTTTTTAAACTGCTGTTGGACAGAATCTCTAAAGAAAAAAAAAGCTAACACTAAAAAATTGCTTCAAAGTTTCTTTGCCATATGTCTTGATTTTTAATCCAGTTACCATAACAACAAAAAGGAGATTCAAACAAGTTTAATGATTTTAACAATATAATTTGAAATATCTCCACTAAAATGCTATTCTGATATCTGATACTTTGTTATGTCATAGAGGTAAGTTTGGGTTCTCTCAAACCAGGCCATTGCCTTGAGCATGAATATCAAGCTTTCACTTCAAAAATCAACTTGATAGCCAACTGGTATCTCTCTTTGCTGGTGACTAGTTAAGGAAATTTCAAGAGTTTCATCAATAGAAGATTCGCTACTGGATTGTTTTGGCTGCAGCAATTTGTAAAAACCTAAACTAAGTTAAGAAAAATAAGTGCTAGGAGTGAATTCACACCAGGGAAATCATGGGTCCTTAAAGCACTAAGTTGTTTAACAAGAAAACCCTAATTTTTTTTATTAAAAACAAAATGAACAAAAAAAAACCCCAACCTTTCCATCCTAACTGGATGGATAGGTTATAGTCCTCCATAAGGACTTTACCACCTTCTGGGCATATGTCCTCAGCTGTAAAATGAGGAATTTGGGCTAGATGGCTCTTAGAACACTCCTAGCTGTTAATATTCTATTATTCTGTTGTTCTTCTAGCATCTGTAACAACTTTGTCATATCTCTAGGTCAGGGATTATTACACCTGTTTTACCAACAGGGTATCCAAAGCTTACAGTAGATGAGCCAGCAATTATGCAAATTAGTGGCAAAATTTATGTCCCAGGTATATCTTTGGAATATACCACACTTTTCTAAAAATGACATCATTGTCTTCTGAAGAGCTTTTGTCTATGTTCATTGCCTCTACTTTCTCTTCTCACTTCTCAACACTTTGCAGTCCGGCTTTTAACATCACCCAAATGAAATTGCTATCTCCAAAATTACTGAAGATCTCTTGATTGTCATATTTGTCTTTCCTTAATCTACACCCTTATTGAGCTCTCTGCAGTATTTGACACTATTGTTCACACTCTCCCTCCATATGCTCTCGCATCTTTGGATTTTGTGGCATCTCTCTCTGTTGCCATGTATCTCTATCTCTCCTTTAATTTCTCTCTTCCCTTCCTTCCCTCTCTTTTTCTCTCTTTTTCTTCCCTTCCTTTCTTCTTCTCTTTTCTACTATTTGACCATTCCTTTTTCAGTCTTTTTATTAGCACAACCATCCTTTTAATACTCCCTTATCTCTGGATTTCTGCCTAGGTCATCTTATCTCTGCTTTCTCTCTTTATTGGTATCTCCTGAATTCTAATTTGCCACCACTATTAGATGTTTCAAATAATTTTAGGCACCCCAAAATTAAAATTTCCAGAACATCTCAATATCTTTCCCTCAAAACCATCTACCTTCCAAATTTCCCTATTTCTTTTAAGAGCATCTCCATCATTCCAATCACCCAGATTTGCAGCCTCTATGGCATTCTTTGTTCCTTATTCTTACCCCACGTATCTAGTTAGTTGCTACATTTTATCGTTTTTCTGTGTCCACAACATCTCTCACCTCCTCCCTACCAGAAACTTAGGTTAGCCTCTCATCATCTCTCACTTGAACTATAAGCAATAGTCCACTGATTTTTCTCACTGCCGGATTTTTCTCACTGCCTTAAGTCTCTTGTCACTCCATTCCATCTTCCACTTAGAGACAGTATTTCTCCTAAAATACAAGTTTGACCTTGTCTCTCTCCTATTCGGTTAACTCCAGTGGCACCCTTTTGTTTCTAGGGTAAAAAAGAAACTCTGAAATTTAAGGTCCTTTGTAACCTAGTCCCGAGTATCCTTTCAACCTTATTGTCCCGTTATTCCACTTGATGCAACCTCTGATACTGCCAAATTAGCCTTCCTGTTTCTCATGCACTGTGCTACATCTCCCCTCTGTGTCTTTGCACTGGCTGTACCTGGGGCTTTGAAGATACCTGCAGGCCAAGTTTTCTTCAAGGCTTAACTTAAATATGACATCATATGTTTCCTAATCCCCTGAACTACCAATTCTTTTCCCCAACAGAAATGCTTTTGATTTTGTCTGTTTTATATATGTCGATGCCCTTGATCAAATGGAAACTCCTATTCTAATTCTTTCATACCTTCAGCAGCTAGCATGTATGTGGTACATAATAGTTATTTCATAAATGCTATCATCTTTTTCTTCAGACAATATCATTTCCTTCTGCCCCTCTAACATATTGTAGCTCTACAATTAGAGTAGATGAGCACTTGACTTTTTCCCTAGAAAACTCTTTAAAAAGAGAAAAAAGAAACAAATTGGTTTGGCAGAAAGAAAAAAATAGCTTTAATGAAATATTTAAGATTGTAAAGTTGGTTTTTGCATTGAATCTAATACGGTTGCCTTTGAACGCCAGTTGATATATCATACTTACCTGTATAGTTTCATTTTTTGCTGATTGTGCCTCCATACTCAGTGCTAATATTTTCTTAACTCTTTTAAATAATAGCAGTCTTATTAAATTAAGAGTTATTAGATTGATGACATGTTACTAATTTTCTTTTCTGTTTGTATTTTTTCACAACTACTCAGGGAAGTAGACCTATACACAGGTTATACTACACGGAATATTCTGTGTATGCCTATTGTGAGTCGAGGGAGTGTAATCGGCGTTGTGCAGATGGTGAACAAAATCAGTGGAAGTGCCTTCTCCAAAACTGATGAAAACAACTTTAAAATGTTTGCAGTATTTTGTGCTTTAGCCTTACACTGTGCTAATGTAAGTAATATTTCTCAAAATGTTTTCTTGAATCCACTATTGATTGAAAAAGCCTTATGTTGAAGTAAAGTTTTCAAGTATTTGCCAATTGTATTTTTTCTGTTGATTAGAGTGATTCATTATTTTATACATTTCATAATCACAGGAATATTACAAAATTTACTTCAATCAAATGAGCTTAATGAGCATAATGCCTATATCTTTATTCAGGTATCCTGCAAAGTGTGAAAACCCAAGAAAAAAGAAAGTTTGTGGAAAGCCAGAAATTATTGGTTCCATGTATAGTTCAAAATGAAAAAAAAAACAATTTAAGTAGGAAAATATTCTCTAGGTCATAATCTAAGTTATATGAATAATATTTAAGACGACATGACCAAAATTTAGTAACTCATATCATGATGTTAGCATTGGAATGGAATAGTATAAATTCTACTTCATGTTGGTGTGGTGCCCTCTTGTGGAGGAATGCATTACTGCTTCAACTTTAAGGAAAAATTTAGTGAAGAGACCTTATCCTGGGAAAGATTCAATATTTTATCTTAATATCACATTTGGAAAGACATTAAAGAATGTATGAAGTTAAATACTTTAGATGCATTTTAGGGAATAAATATGTGTTATTATCTTTTACCTAGAAAGTGTAATATCTGAGGGAAGTGAAATTGGAATGAATTTGAATAAATTGAATTTTAGAAAGAAGCATATTAGGTGGATGAGGGAAAAAAGAATGTGAAGTACAAGCAGAGACTAGAGGCAAGTGGCTAGAAGCTAACTGCAGTAAAGGTGTCAGATAGAGAAGTAGCAAAGGATCACCTAGAAGAGGTTGACAAAAAGTGCTGAATATGGTAGACTTTCCATGAAATAAATATTCATTTCTCTTTTGAACACATACTTGAAGACAGTAGAGAATAGGAATGATTAGAAGTAGTGCAGCTTTGATTTCATGATATATAGATATTCCTCCTGTTGGGGAGATCACAATGCATCTAGTAATTCTTTTCATCCTTTGTGAGTCTTATTCAAGAGACAGCTGATCATAATATGTGTTAATTGATTATTAGTAACTAATGCCTTTTACTTAGAATTGTCACCTTGATTACCAAAATGTTTTCTCCTTCTTTTTTTCTTAGAATTTTCACTTGAACAAAATTAATTTGAAGTAATGCAGTTTTTAGACTTTGTATACATAACGCCAGTAGAGGAGGCTTAAATAAAAAAAGCTGAAGAACTACTAACCTGTAATGTATTAGATAGTTGGCTTAACTGATTTAGGTAGAAAATTGATTCAATTTTTACTGGATTAAGTGGAAGTTGTGATTTTGTTTAGATTCAGTTTAAATGACAAGTTGTTTTCATATGATGGACATGTAACTTTACTGCCATTTCTTGGTACATCTCAAATTATGTAGTCAGTTAAGTATTAATTGATGTAATACCTTGTCTTCAAAAACATCCCCATATAGAACACTTAAAGAGGAAGATTATACAACTCCTTTACCACTTTCTTACAAAATCTTAATTGTATAAACTTATCTTTGCATAAACATTTGATCTTTGCTCCTTCATTAGAATCCTGATCTAGGTTGAGTGGGGCCCAACTCCTCATCCCTCTTTCAGTAGATTTTTATATACAATATTTTAGTAAGACAATATAGGAGTACTGTTACATATCTTGTTATTTAGATGTTAAAATATTGTTCAGTATATTATTCCTTCTTTTTTTTTTAACAATTCGTCACTTAACCATAAGATTCAATTTTTTTTTGTTTCATCACATACACAGAGACTTCTTAAGGGATTAGTACCAGAGATATTTTTAGAGGAGTCATTTTTAAGGAAACTTAACTTGTTACACCAGCATAATTCATTTTCTCCTGGTTAGTTTAGTTAACAGATGCCAAGAGACACATTTTTATTTGCTATATAAAACTGAGATTTCACTGGAAGAATTTTGGTTCATTTGCCTTTTTTAATTTTGAAATAGAAAATAACACGGAATAGGTCAGAGGGGGTCTTTTGACCTTACTCATGTGGTAAAACTTATAAGTTTGTAAGGGAGATGGGAGGAAGTGTTTCATTTCCATAGAACACCTAAATTGGTTCTCACAGACCCAAAAGGTGAGGAATTTTTAGTTGTTCAGTATGCACAGGCAGGTTAGTCCTTAACTTTACTCCCTTTGTCTTTGCCCAAATTCTGCCGTTTTTATATATCGTGTGTATATCATATGTCTTACAATCTTCTCTTTCTGAAATTACTTTCTCCTCTTGAAGGCTACTGATAACTATGTTCTCTATCTTTTCATTTATTGGCAGCTTTTATTTGTTAATTTCATTTCATTTGTTTTAAAATAAGTTAAAGATTTAGCAGGATCCTCACTACTGGACTATTGATCTCCCATTGTGATTAGAGTTCTTTAGTGTCTCCTGGTATAAATATGTTGTTTTTCTGTCATTTCAGTCTGGTCTGACTCTTCATGACCACATTCGGGATTTTTGTAGCAAAGACACTGGAGTGGTTTGCCATTTCCTTCTCCAGCTTGTTTTATAAAGGAGGAAACTGAGGCAAACAGGGTGAAGTGACTTACTAGGGTCACACACAGACAATATATGAATAACTAAGGACATACAAGATATACATATAGAGTAGAAGCAAGGTAATCTAAGAGGGGAAGGCACTAGCAACTGGAGACATCAAGAAAGGCCTTCCGTAAAAGGTGGGACTTGAGCTAAGTCTTAAAAAAAAAAAAAAACAACTCAAGAGGTGTAGGCTAAAGAAGAATATTTTAGGCAGGGAAATACCCAGTGCAAAAGTGTGGAAATGGAATCTAGAGAAGTAGTCCCAGTGTAGTAGGATTATGCATTGGGTAGGGGAGTCAAGTAGAAGACTTAAAAGGTAAGAAGGGTTAAGGTTTTGAAGGGCTTTAAATGCCAAACAAAAGAGCTTATTATGTGAGACTGGCATGTAATTAGGTTAAATATCCTTTCTCTTTTCTTTCCACTCCTTGCTCCTTCAATAACCTGCTCTTTAACTTCAAGAAATAAAATTAGTCTTATTAATTATAATTAAAGTTGTGTTCATGTTATTAACTACTTGCTGACAGCTAGTTTATGATGTTTGACAGAAATGTGATATATGCTGCTTTGCGTTGTAAATTTAGGTGTATTATACCTTTGCTTCGCTTACCAACTATATAGTTTAAATACTTGTTGTCATTCAAAAAACACAGTATCAGGAGAAGATGCTTCCAGTACCTTTTAGGAGAGTTCTGAGCCTAGTCCAGCATCATTCATGTGAAACTACTTTTAGCATCCCATCAAAGAACGTTACAGTTTCCTTTTATGTCAATTCAGCTTGCCACAGGCAATTGTTATACGCAGCTCCTCTTTAATTCTACTCGGAGCAAGTATCTGTATACAATTGTTCCTCTGTTCTGGTCTAGTAATTGCTTAAATTGCTTGCTCCATAAGACTTAGTAATAAACAAACACTATGTGTTCTAAGACCATCGGGACTCTGGGATACCGAGAACAGTTCTCATGTTCAACAAACTACAAAGGCAGTTGATTGTAGAGACTGACCTTCCAGACCTAGTGGTTTTTTGTATTTTGTTTGTTTGCTTTTTTCATTCTTACTACTTCATTTCTATTCATTTCTCCTTCCGCTTCTTTTTTAGAGAGCCCTTTCAAAAGATAAACATAATTCTTAGTTCGGGGACAAATATGATTTGGGGTTGAGACTGAACTTAAGATTTCGATATTTAGAAGCACTTAAACTCAGTGCTCCTTTGAGGCTTTGTTCTTCAGAGGTTCTTTACTATGTCATGAAGATAGGAAGCCTGGTGCTTGACTTTCATCTGTTAAAAAATGTTTGCAGAAGTGTTGTCTCTCTAATAGATTTAGGACATAAAAATGGTGAAGTAGCTACTATGTCTTTTTAAAATTAATTTATTTATTTTTAGTTTTCAACATTCACTTCCATAAAATTTTGAGTTCCAAATTTTCTCCCCATCTCTCTCCTGTCCCACTCCAGTTTGATATAGACTGTACATATACATTCATATTGAACCTATTTTCACATTAGTCATGTTGTGAAGAAGAATTAGAACCAATGGGAGAAACCATGAGAAAGAGGAAACAAAAAACAACTCAAAAAGAGAGAGCAAATAATATGCTTCGATCTACATTCAGACTCCACAGTTCTTTTTCTGGATGTGGACAGCATTTTCCATCATGAGTT